GAAACCCCGCAACAGTGTTGACAGATTAATGCGATTAGGGTTATAAAGTGTGAAACCCCGCAACTGTGTGATAAGTAATTGTAGCCGTTATTTGTAGATTGTTAAATAAACCAATTAACCATCTCTACGGCGTCTTCAATAACGTAAACACGTTACAATATAATGAATTTCATATGTTTCAAATATTACAAATTATGTGATTGTGGTTGCTTACGTTCTTTTTGGTGCAAGGAGATGATTGGTCATCATGTGGGATTCTTGGTACCAACATAAGCTATTCATAAAAACCACCTGATGAGGATTTTGATAGATCAAAACATGTACTGGGATGAAAATAAAATAATTTAAATATTAAACATTTAATATCAGTTTATAATTAATTGTTCTGTTGATGGCCCGTAAGTATTCCTTAGATAGTTCATCCACATTCTCTGGTAAAAGCTCCTCTGTGCTACACACTATAAGCTATATGTTTTTTTAATTCGCATAGTAGGGGGTGGAGTCCAACTGGGTCCACGGCGGCCACTGATTGGCCTATTGTACCTGCTTCGGGTGATTATGATGATGGAGAATTTCGTGGAATGAATGGAATGAAGATTGACAGGGGAAACTGAAGTACTAGGAGAAAACCCGCCCCAGCACCACTTTGTCCACCACAAATCCCACTTGCCCAGACCTGGGATTGAACCGGGGTCACCGTGGTGGGAAGCCAGTGACTAACCGCTTGAGCTATGGCGTGGCCTTAAGCTATATCTTAAGCCTGGCAATTATGTAATACCTGAAGAGCTGTAGAAGTTTGTTCCCTGCAAGTGTGAAATTCTACACACTCAAATAAAGCTGTGAGATGTCAGTGGAAAGTTCCGTTATCTAAAAGCATTTCCATGGAGATTACTGCTTTCTGGACATGATGTGATCATCTGTGAGGGACTGTTAAGAGTACTTGGCTTTGTACAGATTCTCTGTGTTACAAAGTATCTTATATAAATTCACATATGTGCAGAATATGTTTTATTTTTGTAGTATACTGTGTTCATATTGGTGGTGTTCAGGCTGCCTCAAGCACTCAGGCCACTACCAGGTCCATTGTGCATCCCTGATCTTGTTAGAGCCCTACAGAAAGCCTTGAATATAATGCTAGAGCTAGAATAATCTTGATTGAGGCTGTCATGGTATTCATTGGATATGACCCTGCAGATCCTCAGCTCTCTAGTTTATGCCTGGGTAAAGCTGGACATCAATAGAATATATGGTAGGAGGCTATCTCATGCCCAGATTTCCAGCACATGGCCCAATCAGAGATGCCTGTAACATTTAGGTGCTTTCCCAGTGAATAGTGGCCAGTCAATAACCCTGTTACCACCCTATGATATTTCCTGTCCAAGACTTACAGGTCTTCAAACAGATTATCCAAAGGTCTTTCTTTCATTGAAGAACTTTGACTGCCTGATAGGAAGTGTGGCATAATATTATACAAATTACTTCACTCTTCATTGAATTTCTCTCTTTATAAAGTAAGAATGTTTAACTTCAGTTATAATGTAAGGAATAGAAAGTATGATTAATAGAATGCCCCTGTGATTTACTGTTTTTCTTTTACAGGAAGAATTAGATAGGCCAAAACCGGAATTGGTGATACCTGCATTGGCTGGGGCAAAAAGTGAGACAAAACTCAGGTAACTATCCACTTCAGTGATGTCTGATTACAGCATTATTAGCAGTTATGAGAATATGATAACACTGTTTCATGTTAGACAGTTTGTTAGCTGATGATGTGAAATGTAATGAAAGTACAAACATTTATTCTGTGAAGTTGTTCGGGTATGTTCAGACAATTCAGATACCTGCATGACATGAAAATTTTGTTTTTCAGTCGACAGACTGCAATCCAGGCTATTGAAGCCAAGTTAAAGATGATGGAACACAGTTCAGTTAATGACTTTGAGGTGAACAATGCTCCGACAGGAAGCTTGTTTGCACCACAGCGCCTTCATGTAACACAAGCCTCAACAGCAAGATACCGATCAAGAGGAAGATATGATTCAAGACCATATAGAAGACCCTCAAAGCTTCGAAGATGATCTTCTAATTGTATTACTTCTTTAGACATTAGATTCTCGTTTATGGAACTTGAATTATTATAATTTTATTTAAAAATGTTTACAATGTAAGCACTGTATTACATGAAGCTTATGGGTCTTCTGGGATGACAGTGTGTACTTGGCAGTTGGGTATTAATGTTTCAGAGCAACGTGTCGTCTCTGTCCTCGACCTTTGAAATGGAGGTAGCAGGTTTCTCCAAAACACTGGTACTTCTCCACAGCACCATGTCCCAGGATACTATAATTTTAATATCCACTACCATGAGAACCTCAGTTCTGACACTATTATATGTTGATAACTGCACGTTTCTCTTAAGGATACATTTAACAGTCATATACACAGTGTTTAGAATGTATACATGGGTTACTTAAAAAATTTTTGGGGGGTAAACATGTTACAATGAAGAAAGTTCAGAATATACTTATGAAAGGGCATGATATACCCCTCCAATTGGCTTAGTCAGATCAGGTTAATGTGAAGGGGCGTAGGTATAATAGGCAAGAAAAATTGCACATTATGGAATGACTTTTTTTTCATTCTTTAATCCTCAAAAAATTCAATTGTGATTAAGAAATAAAAAATTCAGTGTGAGTTTCATAAAATTCGATGCACAGTTGCCTGGTCAATCCCTGTATGTCTCTCTAACTCCTTCAGAGACCAGCGCCTATCTTCCTCCATGCACTGGACGACCACAGCATGAGAAACATCGGCACGAACGGACGCAGCGCATCCACGACGTTGCAAGTCAGCACTTGCTTCTCTTCCACGTTGGAATGCTTCTATCCAGCTTGCAACAGTTCTGTATGGTAGAGCATGATCACCCAGAGCTTCCACAAGCTCTGAGTGACATTCAGTCACATTTCTTCCGTGAAGCAGTGCTGTTTTCACATAACAACGCTGTTCCAGCCGGCTAACGTTCACTCTCAACGAAGGTTATGATCACACTGACGTCGTGCTGGACTCGCTTTGTTGTCCTTGGACTTCCGCATCATCTAGCGGCATCATTAGAAATCAAGACATTGCTGTTGCTCAGCGGCAAATTTGGAGATTCCGGTCGAATTTTCAGAAATATTATGCTGCCATGCCTTTTGAAGTAACCCACATATAATTAAAATTTCCTGCATATGAAGGTATTTCTGCCCATACCAAAATACCTGCACAGTTCCTAGAACTATAACCTGGCTGCAAAAATAATCTATGACTCCACCTGCATGTGAAATAGCAACCCCCCAACCTGGGGAGAAGGTAGCATTTCAACAGATCTTAATTTCAACTTTAGAGTGTGAAAATGCAATCAGGAAGACTGGTAGTGAAATAGTGCTTACAAATAAAACAAGTGGGAGAAACATAGGGACCAATGATATAATCACCCAGCAGGCAATTCTACACAATGAGAACTGATGCTTATTCCTTGTAACTCACATAATGGCCATGGTTTATGCTAACCGTCTTACAGTGTATACACTTTTTCAGCAGTACAACGCGTGCAGTAACAGGAGCAAAACACAACACAGAACACGATACACAAATGTATGTAGGAAGAATGCTCACATAAAAGAGGATTGGCATAATTCACGTGTTTGAGTGCGACATAGGATGAATCCTGAAAAGTTTTATTATTTAGAATTCATCGACATATATGACGAATACAGATTTTAGTCATTTTAGAATGAAGAGATTATGGCATGCAGTACAATAGTTTAACGTGCATAAAGACACCTGAGGATGGCATATTAGTGCTGAAACATGTAGTGTGGAAGTGAAGAATATGGTGAAAAAGTGTATACACTGTAAGACGGTTAGCATAAACCATGGACATGAATCAGTGTAACAGGACGCTAAAATATAACATTTTTAAAATATAACACATAATGGGATTTCCTATCCCCAAATGTGCTGTGTATTTAGCATCATGTCAGATGGCTCAAACTTTGCAACCACACATCCCTGCAATGGAAAGTTGCTTTGCAAAACTGTAAAGGAGTTCGATTCAATACTCCCTTATTAGGAATGTACTCATTTTTGGAATATCCTGTATATTATATTGTTTGTGTCCTTTTATTTCCTTGTTTGTCTTATCCAACCTGTTCTCATTTCTAATACAGATCATTTGGCCATCAATCACTGTCATCACCCTCAACATAATCATCATCAAAATCATAGTCTTCATCACTGTCCTTTTCTTGCTCTCTGCTTTGTTTTTCGGTTTCATTGGCTGAAAAAATCAAAACAAATTGGTGAAAATGTGTAAGTAGATCAAAACAAGTACAGTTGTCCCTGCCAACTATACATTTCAAGTATCCATGGCGTCCCGTTTGTATCCAGTTTATTTATCTGGTTATTAATTTGTGTAGGCATGAGACATCCATACTTTGAGGGGCAGGGTCATGATGGCATCTGACACAAATATTATAGTTTCCAAATTATCACTACACTACGGTGTTTTTTTTTTGTGACAAGTTTTATACTCTTTATGTCTAATGCTATTATATACAGTAAAACTTGGTTATAGCAACATCGGTTTCTGCGACACCTTGTCTATTGCGTCAAATATTCAATGGTACGAACTAATTCCTCATAAAGCAACTGTTTTTATACCTTGCTTAGTACAACATGCACAAATGCATCAACCTCGTATGTAACGTCATTTTCATTCCTGAATTTCTCTGATATGGACATTGAACGTAATTTAGAAAGTGTGTATTGGGCAAGTAACAGGAAACAGATGAAGATAACTGATTACTGTACTCGTATCTAGGTACAGTAAGGCACAACAATTGATGTAATCTACTGTAATTTGGTCAGTAGGCCTACCTTTAATATACAGTATTAGTGCGGTGTGTATTGTCAGTGAAAAGCGCTGTAATATGTCTTTGATATTACAAATTTGGGCAATTCCACTTTAATGTTACCTTAGTCTGTACTTAACTATGTATTTCACTAAAAAATGAAACATTTTAACTCGGTTTTTGGTAGATTTTTACGTGACTAACATAAGGCTACTGTGGAAGTGCCCATTTCGGTTACGACATTCGTTTATAATGACACTATTTTTAGGTCCCTTTGATGACGTTATAACCAAGTTCTATTGTATTTTTATTGTTGGTGAAGTTAACACACTTTGATTACTGTCAATAGTAACCACAGTTCCATAATCCCCAATTCCCCACAGTCTTTCCAACTGCAGTTTTCCAAGTTCAGGTGCTTTTCAGGAAAATAACCCCTGCAGTTGGCAAGGGTTCAACTGCCTCTGTGGTCTAGTGGTCAAAGAGTTCCTGGCTACAGATCCGGAGGTCCCGGGTTCGATTCCTGGCACTACCAGATTTTATTAGAAGTAGTGGGTCTGGAATTGGGTTCACTGAGCCTCATGAGGATAATTGTGGGCCTTTTTCAAGGAAATAGCAGCTCCGGTCTAGAAAGCCGAAATTAACAGCCGTGGGGATTTGTTGCACTGACCACGCAACACCCTGTCTGTTAAAGTTGGCACTAACTTCACCGACAAGCAGCGGTCACTCAGTCAGTATAGTTTGCTTGCGGGCTAAAGACATGGAGTTTGTTTTTTGTTTGTCTGTTGGCTAGGATTTGCTGTGTATCAACTTTCACATATAATAATATAAAACATGTTTTCCTGAGTCTACAGCTTTGTGCATAAAATGATCTATATGCACTTATCTTCCTTCCATGTGTGCTGCATGTCTGGCCATCTTAATTTCCTTGATTTGATTGCCACAGTACTTGGTAAAGAAAGAACAGATAATTATGGTATGTGAACTTATCCTCTGGTTCCAGACATTTTCCTGTGAACACTTTCTGTCTATTTTAACCACTTTTTTCCTTCAGAATAAAACCAAGTTTCACACCCATACAAAGTAATATATGAACTCTACACATTTCCCAGTTCCAACGTCTGTTCTTGAAATATATTTTATACTGGATTAATGTAATGATTTAAATATTTGACAACTTACATGGTATGAACACATTTTCTTGCTTTAGAACTTCAGTGACGAGTTTGCTGATAATTTCCCGGCATCTGTCATCCATACCACTTGGCATCCATCCCAGGCGTTCATGGCATTTGGCACCAGGTGGTGGAACTGGTAATTTTTCCAACATCTCTTGAATTTCAGGCACATCAATATCACAGTACTGAAACAGAAATCAGCTCATTCGTGTGACCTACCTCCATTCTGCACAGGAATTTCAGTCCACTACCACTATAATGTATCATGCCAAATGAGGATGTGTATAACAAGCCATAACAGTAAACAGTAAACAGTTTGGATATATCAATCATGGTTGTGGTCTAGTGGTCAGAGTTCCTGGCTACAGATCCAGAGGTCCGGGTTCGATTCCTGGCGCTACCAGATTTTCTGAGAAGTAGTGGGTCTGGAACGGGGTCCACTCAGCCTTGTGAGGATAATTGAGGAGCTGTTTCAAGGAAACTGCGGCTCCAGTCTAGAAAACCGAAATTAACGGCCATGGAGATCTGTTGCTCTGACCACGTGACACACACTGTCCGCTAAATTTGGCACTACCTTCCCCGAAAAGCAGCCGTTGCTCAATCGGTAGAGTTCACTTGTGGACTAAAATCACGGAGTTTGGTTTTTAGGACATATGCACATTGCTTTGTCACCCCTGGAACAAAAGTGCTGGTAGTGGGATGTGGCAGGAAGGAGAAGGGATGGTTGACTTTTTGACAAACATAAACAAACAAACAAGCTTAACAAACCAATTCCACGAAGCAAGAGTCCTCGTTGCTAAGCTAATAGTCACGCAACTAATCCAATTCTGCACCCTTTACAGAATCTGAAGTTTTATTATTGTGTTAACAAGAACCTGCCAGCAACCCCTCCTGAGCCAAAAAAAAAAGTCCATACTCTCACATTCTAATTATTTATGACAGAAATTTGTCTATGTGCTTAATTAAGCAACATCATATGAAGATATGGAAGTGGAGGCATAGCTTTTGGACCAAATCTTTGTATGCATTTCTAACATATCCTATCCAAGCTACAAGTCCTGTGTATCTCACATTATAATAAATAACTATCCTTAGTTCTAAACCTCCTTTATTCCCTTATTTATAGTAACAAAATTTATTTGTTGGATTTGAGATTCTCATGATGATGAATATGAAGAGCACTGTCTCCTGGATTGTGATGCCATGCAGTTTGGTAGTTTACTGATAATTCAGAGGACCATAATGCCTCCATCTTCAGGGTCAAAGAGTAAGTAAAGCAAGTCCACAGGAAACACTCTGTTTGCTTGCTGCCTGCTTCACTTACTTTTTGATACTGAAAATGGAGGTGGTATGGTCCTCCAAACTTCTACCTGACTTCAGGGTGTTTTTATCAGCTTCGCTGTTGTGCACCACCAAACAAAATACCCATGCAAGTGTAACATTATAGCGTACCTGATAGAACATCTGTCTGGAAGGAGGCACCATTCCAGGATGGAATACATAGATGTTGTCATTATTTGCTATATCTTCAGTTTGTTTCTCTGCAATTTTCTCAGGCTGCATGTTCTCCATCGTGATGACAGCTGTCTTAGGACGACATGATGGACTTGACTTGTAGGGTAGGAGGTAGTTACAGTAACTTCTCTTGGGCTTCACTTTCATCTTCAAGCCACCTGAAAGACCATTTCAGTTGAAACAGTGACTTACTATATCTATATTCTGAAGGACCAGTGTGTTCATGAGGTCTGAGGTTCTTGTGACAGTGAATGATTACAATCTTCTCGTATGTGACACTTCGTAGCGTGGTAGGTAGAGACCAGTGTTTAAGAGAAATCTGTGCTGCAGATGGAGGTAGTAGGTTCATTCTAAAATGGCACTTCAGTGATAACAGATAAATTACTTATCCAGTGCCATGTCATGGTGCTCTGAAAATCAATTCCTACTGTGCATCAACACACGTGACTCGTCTCAGCCACTGAAATGTAAGGATAGATCAAGGTTAACAGATCCATATTTGAACAATTGTTTAGGAACAACCAACATCCCAGACTGTAACAAGTTAGTAGAAAACATGCAATGCCAAATTTTGCACTAGTGTCATATCGGTTCCACTGTTTATTTAGAATTCCCGACTGTTTCTCTTTTATTTTAAACAGACAATACAACTGAGTAGCAACCATGTAACCTTTGATTTGTAAATTGCTGGTTTCTGCATCAGTTGATACAAACTAAGTGAAGGGTTTTATTTATTTTACTGACATGTTTTATTGATAAATGAAAATAACCAATGGAGGAAAAAGGGTGGTGGCAGAATTTTCCTGATGTGTGAAAGACAAGGAGAACTATACTGGACGCTTCAATTTTGTTTCTTTATGTTTGTGACTCCTTCCAAAGTGCATTGTATTGTGGTTAGGTTAGATTACCTTGGACGTGTAGCACATTGTGGCAGTATGTGTTTTGGTATTCTTAATGTTAGTTAAAATGTTTCTTGGTGTGATCTTGACATACAGCTTCAGGGGGTTGAAAGGTTGCAGACTCCTGACATAGATCTTGTTAAGAAATTATGTTTGTCTAGCCAAAAACCCGGCGTATTGGTGCCAGACTAATGTCATTGAACCTCAAGACGTTCTTCTTCATCTATGCAATTTAATTGCATTGTACCTTGATGTCAGAAAATTAATAAATGTGTGTGTATGTAGTCCTTGTTCAGGTATCACACTACTGTGACAGGGCATGTGCAAATTCAGCACTCGTACGGTGGCATTGTTTTCAACATGAGGGTGAGGGCACACCAAGGAAACTGGCAACCACAGTTTCCAGGAATTGTTACCAGCCTGAGTTGAACACATGTTACTGAATGCAATTTCCTCAATTTGCACTGCTCCAATCAGCAACATCAACTCAGGCTGATAACAGTCCCATGACATCACAAATTCATGGCCTTAATACTAGGCGTAATTTTGATCTTTATCGCCCTCAGACAAATTTGACAACTTACCAGAGAGGACCTTACTATTTTGGTATTAAACTTTTTAATCATCTTCCTTTAAATATAAAAGAGTTAATTCATAATATTTAGCAGTTTAGAGCAGCTTTTAAGTGCTTTTTTACATACTTAATCCTATTACACTTTAGATGAATTGAACAGTCTGAAGACGATTCAAAGGGTTCGCCCCGTGAAAGGCATCATGGAATTGCAGTCAACCACAGCCAATACTCATATATTTCTTGTAAAGTTCTTTTCAATGATGTCACGTGACCCTCCCCCTCTTTTTTCCTTCCTCCTCTCGTTGTCGTGCCAAGATGACATGAACAGTCGCTCTCTTTCCCTGGATGGCGGTCGTGCAGGGCGGTTGTCCCTGCTCTTAGAAATTTCTATTTGGTTTCTTTTCTTTTTCAAAATTCAATTTATTTTTGGAAGTCAGCGCTGTGTGTCCCGGGAGAGGGCCCCTCTGCCGAGCTATGGAGCAATGGCAAGGCAAAGGTGTTTTATATAAATATATATGTATGGGTACCCTATGAGTATATGTACACATGTGAGTATTGTTATTTTTTTCTTTCCTTGGTTTGTGAAAGTAAATGGTCAGTGAAATGGGCGGTGCCCCATGAATAAGGTATTGGCTTGAATGACCGGAGTGGGTCATGCTAGTTTTTTTGTAATATTATTT